TGGGAAAATTAATTTTGTGCAATATAATGTTTTGTATTTTCATCTTTTCCGGTTACTGTAAAATTAATACTGTAGGAGAAATTTTATTCGATTCAATATTAGTTAGAATTTTCATCCTTTCCAGTTATTGTAAATTAATAGTTCTTAGAAAACCATCATTAGAATGATTTGGTGCTTGAAAAATGTCTGAATTTAAAAATTTTGCACCCAGTATTTCCTAGCTGTATTGTGTTAATCTGAAAATGTTCAACTGATTAAGTATTTTGCTTCAAAATATGAAGGTGTTTACATTAATATCCAATGTTGATAATTATTGTTAAAAAAAAAAGGAAAATGTTTATACTGTTGGTTAAAGATAAATGATAATTGGTTTTATCTCCGGGAGGGGAGGTGTTTTTTTTTTTTTTTTTTTTTTTGAAAGTAATAGCCATATATTGTTTTAAGATCTAAAACTAATTTTATGCAATACTATTTGGTTTAATAAATATATGTTATTCTTTGGATTAATTAATTGTATGTTTTATTTTATCTTTCTCCATATATTCACGGTGAAAACACAACACAATGTGAGTTATTTAGGTTAGGAAAATTTAAATTTTGTGTTTCTGTGTCTTCTTAAAAAGGCACAGAAAACAATTAAATATTTTAATTCAACTAGAGTCTGCTTCTGATCAACAGAATTTTGCATGATACTTTCTAATAATTTGCAACTCTGCCAACAAATCTAAAAAAGTATTCATCAGGAAAAGTAATAGCCAAAATAGTTATATAGCAGCCCACAAAGTCGCCAAAAAATATTGTTATGGTTTTTGTATTTATTTCGCTATTTTTAGTAGAATTTGTAATTAAAATTGTTTTATGTTCCTGTGCAATGCAGCACCAGACTTATTTGAAGAGAAAGCTATGTTGGAAAAATTAAAATACAGGAGCATGTGCATTTCACATTTTAATAAATAGATATCTCATAATTGTACTCTTTTTCCTATCCAAAAAAATCCACAAAATACCAGAATGTTCTCATGCTGATTAAAAAGCTTATAAAAGTGAGAGGAAAACATCTCAATTCAGTTGTTTTACTTAGTTCTTGTTATTTTGTTTTCGTGTAGCTTTCGCTACACAACGCCAAAATAATTCAAAGAACTGCACAAACTCGGTATCCATGTACCGCCAATTTTCGCCAAGGGGTGCCAATATATTTTTACCCCAGATAAGTAAAAATTATTTTAATACTAATAAATTTTAGCAATAACTAAATTTATTAATACAACATTTATTGTTACCGGATTAATCAGACCTCCGTATTTGCTTTATTCATGTATTTTTTTGTTAACACTTTTCATTCAACAAAACGGAAACTTTTCCAAATCAGTACAATTTAATAGTTCTCTGCCTTATTTCCTGTATTTAAGTAGATCTCTGCCTTATTTTCTGTAAAGAATGATGCAAGTTAACTGCTATTTCTGTTTTTCCCTTCCACTTTAAAAAAAATCATTAAAATTTGGACTCTGCCTTCTACAGAAAACTATGCAATGGAATAGTTTCAAAGTTAGGAGATCTTGGCATGGAGAAAAAAAGTCTTAAAGGGCATAATATGGGTTTTCAACTAAAAACCAATAAACAATAGCAATATAACATGAAAAACTGTGGCAAGAAAATATTCAGTGCGATTTATACCACGCAGCATACATTAACTGCTGATAATAAAATTAAATTAATTATCTCGTCTTTCAAACTCCTGCCAGAATGACTGATACAAATTTAGCAGGATATCTGCAACTTTCATGGTCAATGGGAAAATATGCAAGTACTTTCATGATTCTGCTTTTCTGTTTTAAAGTCTGCTCACTGCAGCAATTCCTTTGTTCTTTTTATTCAGATAGAGTATTTTGAGAGAGTTAAAAAAAGTCTAATTTTTTTTAAGTAAAAACCAAAACAGACAAAATACTGTATTAATTAACGCAAACCCTTGATGTAGCTTGTTGAATTTTTTACAGAAGAGTTACAATTGCCAAAAATTATTTGCTACTTACCTACATAATTCACATTCTAATTAAGTAATTATCACAACACTCGATCAGTAAAATCTTAAAATAGGGTTTCTGTTTGTTCCTACAATATTTCTTCAGTAGCAAAACAAATTGTTAGAACATTACAACTTTTACAGCACACAAAAATGATATCTGTTTTTATGTAATTATATATTTACATAAGATTAAATATATAATTATATTAATATTTTATGTAATTATACATTTATATAAGAGCAGAAACAAACAGAAACCCTCTGATCTTAAAAGAGGGTTTCTGTTGTTCTGCTCTGGTTAAAATTTTATGGCAATATGATCACATTCAAAGCAACTGTTTTCTTTTGTAATTTTGAGAAAATATGAAGTATTCCTGCAGACATTTTACATTAATTCTTCCAAAACTGGCAAATTCCACAAATGCATATTTAAGACCAAAAGAATATCACAATTTATTTATAAAAAACTACAGGAACAAAAAAAAAAAAAAAAAAAAAAAAGAATGCATGAAAAAATGAGGCTTTGTTAAAATTGCAGAATTCCTATGCACATCATTGTCTGAAGAACTGTTTTCAACAAGATTGCCAGAATTTGATACATTCTAAAAATGTGGAGACTTCATACTTAGGCAGCTGTGCTATATCCCCAAATGTGGTTTTCCATTGTTTTACAAAAGACATTTAATCAAATAATATAAAACTATAATAAAGATAAGAATGAAAGAATATTTGTTATAAAAATATACTGTAAAAGTATCTGCGAAACTTGAGAAATGATAAACGTCAGATAATTCCGTAAGAACATGCTATTCGCAATAGAAATGTTAAATGAGTGGAAATAAAAGGAATTTAAAATTACAAAAGAAGTTTCTTATTTGCTATTAGCCTGAACATCGAAAGCATATATTTAACATTACAAAAGATTTTGAAAAAAAGTACATTTTAGACAGGCAACGTCTTTTCATAGATCATAGGTATGAAAGTAAAAAGATCTCATTCAACTACGAAATTTTTGTCAATCATAAAAGTTAGTAAAGGTCCCACCAATAATTTCAGCAGAAATTTGAAAGGACTAATTATACTTTGTTTAGTCAGATAATCAGAGCATGGGTCAGAAACCTTTTTTTATTAGGAAGGCATATTTCAGAAATACAGCAGTGCAACAAACACCATAGGATGTCTACAGTAATAATAAAAATAAATTATAACAATATTAAAATAAATATATGATTGCATTAAAACAAGACTTAATTTTTGTGTGTTGTAAAAGTGTAATGTTCTAACAATTTGTTTTGTTATTGAAGAAATATTTATTAAAAATTGTTGCTTTAGTATGTCATTCATAATGTTGTCAATCAGGCAAGAAAAATTCAAATCATCCTCATTGTGTGAATGAAATAAATTACTGATAAAAAATAGACAGCTGAAATGAAATTATTATCTTAGTACCAACCATTGCAAAAAGAAATTTTGTATCTTTTTGTTATCTCTTAGTTTGAACACATACTCAGCATACAACTAAAAAAATATGAATTCGTGAAATGACAAGTTTACGTATAAATAGAGATTATAGATTAACATGCAGCATTCTTTAACTGGACAGAGTATACAAGGATAATAAAGATGCAAAACACAGTTCGCTAATGTACAATCAGATGTTTCCAGCAGTCAAAAACTGATTCATCCATTAATTGCAGCATTATCTACATGTTGCTAAGATAGGCTTTTTTGGTCAAAAGTTTAAATATATGATTCATTCAATAGCTAAAATAGTAAAGGTAAAATAAAAATTTTTTATTAAAATTATTCATTACAATTACAGTTGTTGCCCAAATATCTAAAATTTAGAAATTTAGAATTTAAATAATTTAAGCTATGGGTACTTCAAAATCAATTAAAGTTACATATTATGCCCGCTTTTCTTGATGACAGGATCTGTAAATATTCCACTGCATGCTGTTCTGTGTAGGGCAGGTCCCAAATTTTAATTTTTTTTTTTTAATACATGATGAAAAAGTGAATAAAAAGTAATTTATTTATCTCTTTCTTTAAAAAATACAAAAAAAATTACTTATTGAGAATTAACTGGCTTTACATGAAACCAAGATGAAGATCATAGAATATTATAGCGACATCATGCTTATTAATTATTGGCACTAAAGCACACAGTTTGGAGACAGTTCCTTTTTCTTTCCTAAATCATTATCCTATATGTGCTTTATGGTGGCTTTGTACACCTTTCATTTGCTTAAGTTTTGATTAAAAAAAGTTTCTAAAATTTTAAAATATTCTGATTACTTCAGCTTTCAGGTTAGTTAAATATTGGATAGTCTGCTTTTACTGTATTTGTCATAAATACACATACCATATTCTCTACGGTGTTTTGTCCCTAGTTTTCAGAACCAAGTTCTTATTATTGTTGTAGTGACAGGTAATTTTTTTCATCTTACTAAAATGGCAAACTCTCGCAAACTACCTGCGAAGGTCATGCCAAACCTTTTCCTTTTAAATGTTAACTTTTATGCCAATCTAATATAAGAGCCTGCCCATGTCAGCAAAACAAACATGGACTGATATTCAGTCTATAATATATCTGACTCACCAGCTTTTCTAATTATTTATGGATCATTTGAGGCCTAAAGAGTAGCAGAGAGAAAAAATACAATAAGAACAGACCTAGATTCAAGATATGCAGAAGCAAAGTTATCTTATTAGATATTGAAATATTAATATTACTATATATTCCTATTGGAATGTAGGTTTCTTTTAAAGAAATAATGTTATAGTAGTTATCAGTAGTTTATCCATGTCTACTTTACATTTCTTACTGTAACCTTCAGAAATGAAATTATTCGCATAATCTTTCCTTTTCGATCTTTGGACAATAAAATTGGTACCAAAAAAAAAAAAAAAAAAAAGAGGAAAGTATGCGAGAAAATACAGTTAATTTTGAAGAGGAAAATAAAAAAAAACTTGCCTTATACTCTTCTCTATAAGTTCCTATTGGAGGTTCAGGTGGAATGGGCGATCCTTCTCTTAGTAAATCATCATCTTCAATAGGTACATCAGGAACGTATCTATGAATTATTTCCCCAGTTTCCAAGGCTCTAGTCATGGTGGAGCGAATTAACTTTGTATAATTAAAATCTAGACTTTTCAAACGCTGGCCAACAAGTTCTGCTTGCTTGCGTCCTAATAAAAAAAGATTAAAATATCCAACATAATATATCAAATAAATTTATATAACACATTTTTAAACCGCTAAAATGCTAATACTAGAAATAAAAATAAGCACAGAAATTAAAATACAAATTTATGTATATATGGCAGACCTAGTACTGAAAATGACAGTAAATCGGAATGTTGCTACCAGCAATTCAAAAAATTTCAATTTTTGAACTGCCAACAGAAATATTCAGTTAAGAACACTACAGACAATTTGAAATTATAATGGCAAGATTTGTCCAAATGAATATGAGCAAATCTTACCATTGCAGGAAAAGAAAGTTAATGTGTAACCCAACATGACCCTAAACTGCTATGTAATCCATTTAGTGTACTGGCCAAGATTTGTTGTACTCTGACATTCTCTGTGCTTGAGGCATAAAATACATGAACTTAGTCATCTATTTGAACAGATAGTGTGGCAGATTAGTCTATTCCCATGGTTTAGATATCGCCATCATTCCTAGTAATCATCCTTTCAGGTCGAAAGTGCAACAAATTAGTCTGTTTCCAGTATTTGTATATCCCCATACTACATGAGATATGTTATGAAGCTGTTCTATATCATATGAGCCATATGCTATGGACACTCCATATCACACAAATGGTCATCTGGCCTCCTCCCATGCAATGGATAAAAGTAAACAGACTTTGAGCCAAAGCACTGATTATCCCTTAAGGATGATTCCGTATAGTGTTCAGCGAAGAATTCTGCTTCACTCTTGAAGCAGATGACTACCGTGTTCGTGTCTGGAGAGGGCAGGGCCAGTGGTCCCAATCAGCCTTTGTTTTACAAAGGCATATATCGTTTTGTTTTACAAAATGATGTGTAGGCAAATAAACTTGATTCTTGAGCTTGTCTGGGACATAGTACCTAACCTCTAGTGTGATGGTGTGAGGCACTATTTCTTATGACAGCAGGCCATCTTTAGTCATCCTCCGTACATCTTTAACAGATCAACAATGTGTTGATACCATACTGCAACCGGTTGCATTACCCTTCATGGCACGTCATCCTGGGGCCATTTTCCAACAAGATAATGCCAGCCCACATACTGCTCGCATATCTCTGGATTGTATGTGTACGATTGATACTCTTCCTTGGCCAGCAAAGTCACCAGACCTTTCACCAATCGAACATGTCTGGGGCATGGGAGACAGCCAGATTCGGGCACCACAAAATATCGCAGATCTGGAGCAACAACTGATGAATGCCTGGCAGAATGCGTCGCATGATGACATTAGGAACCTCTACCAATCCTTGCCTTGATGAATTCAAGCATGCATTGCCGCCAGAGGTGGTTCGACCAACTACTAATTTGAACACTCAATGGGTAATTGTGAGCCGTGAACTCGTACTATGACCTTGATTTTTTGATCATTTTATTATCTGTGTTTGAGCTATACACATATTCAATTTTATCAAAAACAACCACTTCCTTCATGGTGCCTCAATTTTTTTTCAAAATAGTGTATTTTATAACCAATTTTCTTCCTTTTTAAATTTTACTGATTAACTGCTCTTGTAGAGAATTCTAAGTGCACTGCCATTTTAAAAATAGATGCTGCTTTTTGCACACTTGCTAAGCAAAAAATTGGTCGTCAATGAGTTCAAGAATGCTCTCCAAAGTCGCCAACTAGTTCACAATTTTTCAGGACAATCAGAAAGTACCTTTTCTCGTTTTAAATAGATAAATTAATTTTTATAAAAATAAATAATAAATTTATATTCTCTATATTCTCTATATATAGCTACTGATTCCATATCTGTTCTTTCAGTTATCCACAGTTGACAACAGAGTGGTGACCAAGGTAATGGACTAAGTTTCGGAAAAGTAAACAGACCACAGCACAGTGAAATCAAGCATCTCAGACATGCCCAGTACTATCTTCCCACAGTAATCATACACTTGTATGCTTATTTCATATTAATGTTACTAAGTGGGAAGAAATAGTCATTGCATAACGTTATGCAAGTTTCCAGATATGACCTACGATTCAGGGGTATCTTGATTGATAACCTGCCTTAATGACCATAAATATCTTGGCAATGTATTACAGCTATGAATGGTCAGAAGTTAGGTTAGATTAGGTTAATCAATTTAGGTAAAGTACAATAAGAACAAAGTTGAAAATCTGGACATCCAGTATTCTGAATGATCTAATATCAGGACATCTCTGGACAAAAAAAAAAAATTACTAAAATCCTCGTCCCTCCCTCTTACAAAATCTATGAATGGAGATTGCAATGCTCAAGGAAGCAGATGTGATGGAAATGAGATTCCATCCCCCAGACTAACTGAGATTCCAGTATATCACTTTCAAACACAGGGGGGCTTGGGAGTCATATTGCAGCCAATTACAATACATTGATTGATGCTATGCTGATGTTAGCCATGATCATACTTTCGGTCCGAGTATTTGTGGAGAGGAGGCTGGGTAGGTACTATGCATTTTGCTGCCCAGTGCAATCACTGCAGGTCATAAATTCTACTGCCTGATACTCGGTATTCAAAAAATTTTGCCATTCTTAAATTTTGTTGCTCAGTGCTGCTTTAAATTCTAAAATTTTTGCCACCCTATGCGGTCACACCAGCTCTAATTCTGGCCCTTTTAGGAGGTTAGAATTCTTCTGTCTGACCTAAACAATAAGCAAAACCTTAACGCTATGATGCCTGCATGTCATTTCACTAGATTTAACACGCTGACTGCCATGGAACTTTTCACAATTCCTTCTAAAATGGCAATTCTGATCTTGTAGCTGACGTATGTAGCAGAAATTTCTCAGCAAAAGCCAATTATGAGGTAATTCATGTGCAGAAATGCTTCAACATGTTGCTTTGCTACAGCTGAGTCAGAAAATATGTGTCAATTCATTAGTAGAATTATAAGTGCATCACATTTGTGTCCTTCAAATGCGTGTTACTTTATAATCAAGTTATAAATGCCCTAATATGAATAGAAAAAGACCACTTGCTGAGGAAAAAAAATTAAACTACGCTAATAATCCAAGTCAGGGTTTCTTAAACTGTGGGCCGCAAACCCCTTGGAGGTCACGGGACCTGCAGCAGCAGGTCAAAAAAATTTTTAGCAATTTTGATATTTCTTATTACAATAATTTTACAATTACCAAATATTTTTACAGAATGCATCTGAAAATAGATAAAGATAAGACAATATGGACAAAGAAAAAAACGAAACTGTTTTGACGCATTCTTTTTATAATATAAATGTTCATTTTCCTTGCTTTGCACGTGATGCTGTCATTTCGTCTGTTTCTTATTTAAAATTTTCACATTGTTCTATGCCTTAAAATTAAAAATTAAAGTTAATGAGCTAAAACTGCAATAGTATATTACAGTTACAAGTGAAAAGATTGTCAGTTTCACTCATGTGTGTGTCGGATTTGCGCAATACTTGTGGGGTTCTACAAAATTTTTGTAAATATTATGGGGTCTTGGGGGTCGCGAAAAAATCTCACTGATAAAAGGGGGTCGGGACTGAAAAAAGTTTAAGAAACCCTGATCTAAGTGATCCGGTACTTGATGAGATTGTCAGCGAGGACAGTAAAGGCAGTAGTAATTATGTACCTTCTGCAAGTGGGGACAGTCTCTGAACCTGAAGATGAGATGATTCTTAAAGCTGAAGACAATTGCGATGCTTCCCAAGAAACCACTCCAAATACGAATGATAATTTATGGGCATAAAATTGCAAAACTTTTTCAAAAAAAAGCAGAAGAGATTGAACCAGTTTTTTTTTTTTTTTTTTTTTTTTTTTTTTTTTTTTTTTTTTTTAAGATCACGGGAGTTTATTTACAGAGTATTCCTCCTACAGAAAAAAGCTGCATCTGACAAAGCCATGCTGATTTTGTGCCAAAGGTTAAAAAGCACCAAAAAAACACATTACGTCAGTCCAGTCTTCCAAGAGAAGCCAGCACTTTGTGTGGAAGATTGTTTTAAAAATTATCACAAATCACAAAAATGTTATTCTGCTTGAATAAATATTTTTCAATAAACTTTGTAGTATTTTCTGTAGATTTAAGGCAAACCTGATTTTTTCTTCTCTTTCCTGAGACCACCTATTCATATTTACACTGTTATACTATGACTTTCCTCGTAGTTATACAAATATGGCAAGTAATGAAGTGACGAGATAACTTGTAGTTAGCGTCCTGAGGAAGTAAACAACCTACAAGATATCCTGTAGTTGTTAAATTTATTACATAAAATCTGAATATTTCCAAAATCCAGAACAAACTAAATTCCTGATGATTCCAAATAAGACTCTGCACTGTAAATGTGGGGAGAATAGGCTCATGGTTGTCTTTCTGATGCAAACATGGCTAGCACTCCTATTACACATGGAAAAATTATGAATACACCAATGCAGACAGCCTATTCATTGAGATTTTAATCTAGGTCAAGCTATCACTGTTTAGCAATCTTACCTGCACTGCCATTTGTGGGCATCAATGGTCACAAAATATTTGACTCTTTTCTATATTTTTTTACCAGTCTGCTCTTACAATATAAGAATCTTTCTTTCACTATCTAGTATCCATAAACTCCAACCTGCAGCCAAACCTGTCAGTAGTCAATGCACGAACAGCATTTTTACAACTTTGAAAATGTGTACATAACCCATGTTTTAATTAAAATTCATATATATATATAAGAACAGATGGAAATGAAAATTCAGTTCTCAAGTTGATGTCAGCAACTTCAGCATGCTTTAAAAATGGATCACTTAGTGGAAATTTACCTATTATATATGACCATGCAGTTACAAAAAAAGCTCAGACAGAATTGCAAAATGATTTCAATTCAACTAGGCATTTTTTAAACATAATCTTGTTTCTGTACCAATCACTAAATCAAACTTTCATTTTCTTTTTGTTTACTACACTTCTGAAATGGAATCTTTAGAAATTACTGATCGCTTTACGAATCTAACAAATAAATTCATT